TGCAGGAGAGTTCCTTTTTCTCCACATCCTCACCAACATTTGTTGTTGCTATTTGTTTGAAGATGTGCCATTCTCACTGGCACAGTGAGTTTTAATTTGCATCTCCCTTATTACGAGTGATGTTGAACATTTTTTCATATGCTTTTAAAGCTTCATCTTTACCATGAATGTTTTTATAAATGAAGACTACCCCATGAAATATAACTTACAATGTGGAAATTGATTTCAAAATTCTAATTGGGAGAAGAGAAAACTGTAGTTTTGTAGTCAGCTTACAAATAAACACTAAGCTATAATAGATACATGTTATTCTTTCCAAACCTTTGTGGACCTTGTATTCATACAATAAATAGCTTTTTAGAACCTGCCACATGTCAGGCTTATATATTAGACAGAAGACTTGTTTTTGTTTCCAGCTCTGTAGCGCTCTAATTGATTCATAACATTATGTAAGTTTAAGATATGCCTTTTTATTGGAAAAAAATCCATTTACTCACATTAAAGTAATTATTTAAAAGTAAGGACTTACTAATACCATTTTATTAATTGATCTCTGGGAGCTTTAAAGTACCTTTCTTTTTTCTTCCTCTTTCTCCCTTGTGTCTGATGTTTTTCCATAGTGGTATACTTTGATTCCTTTCTCTTTCTTTAAAATATCTGTTGTAGATTATTGCTTTATGTAAATATAGGCTTTCATAAAACATGGATATTACTGCCACTTTATGCTGGTAACAACTTCAATTCCTTTTTTTGTTTTGTTTTGTTTTTTGATGTCACAGTTTACTTCTTTTTATATTATATACTAATTAGCAAAAATATTAGAGCTACTATCATTTTTAATACTTTGACCTTTAACCTTTTACTAGAGTTAAGTGATTAATACCTTACCACATTGCAGTATTACAGTATTCTGGGTTGGACTGTATACTTACCATTACCAGTGCTGTTTGTTTTCATGTTACTGACCAGCATCCTTTCATTTCTACTTGAAGGGCTAGTGGAGAACTCCCTTAGCTTTTCTTGTCCCTAACTTATGAAGAACAAGTTTACCGGATAAAGTATTCTTAGCTGACAAGAATCCTTAAACATTTCCATTCAAATAACTTTGCTTTCAAAATGTTGATTGCACTAGTGTCTGAACAATTAAAAAACATCCTGCCTGATATATTTTTACTTATCAGCAGTGGCATTCTAGAAGAATTCTGATACGAATTTCCATAATGTTTATGGATGGCTCTCCCCTCTGTAAAGCTTTCCTCCTTGCTTGTTGGACACAGCAATAAGCTTCATTTGCAGTGATCTCCACAAACAGTTATACAATTTGTGCTGGAACAAAGATGGCTCCCTGTTCCTCCAGCATCGCATGGGGGTCTGCGTTTACTGACACCTAGAGACAGCCTCGAGAAAACCCTGGCACACTCCCACAGCAGAGCTGGAGGTCGCAGAGCCACTGCCTCCCCATTTAGTCACTCTTCCCTGGGAGTCCCGCTTCCAGCCACTGCCATCTGGCCCTAGGGTGCTGTGCAGACTGGATGGTCCTGTGCTCTCCCTCCCCCATGTGCCCTGGAAGCCTCCATGTCATGGTTTCCTTAACGAGCTTTCAGCCCACCTCTCCTTCTCTTCCTAAGAGATTCCAACAACTCCCCGATTTCTTCTTGTGATGGTATCCTATAGTTCACTTATACTTTTCTTCACTCTTATTATTCTTTCTTTGTTCTCCTCTAAGTAATATATTAACGGTCTCCTTAAACTACCAGACCACAGCAAGAGAGACTGGGGTCTATTTGCAGACTACTTAAGGATTCACAACTGGGAACAAGGTTTTTATGCCCACTGTACCTGAACAAGACTCCTCCCAGGCCCCTAGCATACGATGCTGGATCCACAGCCTCCACAAGGACAATTTGTGCATCGGTACCAAATTGTTGGGGAAGGAGGGCAAGTATGAATGGGCTGCAGGTTATTTGGAAATCTTGCTGGAGGATTTGTGGATGTGGGATTTGGTAGGGTGATTCTCCAAAAATGTCACATTATCAAAAATGCAATATTTACAAGTCCTAAAAATATACCAGTATGGCTAAAATTCCTTCATTTTTGCTTACTTGTACAAAAACTATAAACCTAAATACTGGTGGAAAAAAGCTTTACCAGGGCCATACAGTCTTTAAAAACATAAGTATTGGGGCCCTCCCTGGTGGCGCAGAGGGTTAAAGCACAGCACTGAGAATCTAAAGCCGCTTCTGCATGAGTTCGGTTCCCGCCTGCCCCGGAGGTGACCACATGGCGTGGCAGACCTCTCCTGACCC